GTTAAAGCATATGATAATCACAACTTGGATGGTATCCATATGAAAGAAGGTGCGCAGAAGTTTTCTACCCTCCTGCCTTGAATACAAACAATTCCCAGGTTCTTTGTTTCAGCATTCACCTATGGTAACCAGATGCAAGTATCCATCCTTTTTCTATGATTTACTCCCAAAACTGCAATTTGCAGTCCACAACTTGAGCTATTATTTGTTTATTTTTTACTGCTTGCTTCCTAGCTATTGATCAGTACATGAATATCGTCATGCTATCATTCAGCAGCCGGATCAGTAACTTCATATATGTACAATTTTCTGATCAAGTAACTTCATATATGTACTCATCTCTAATAGGTAACATCATTATGCCGCTGCTTGAAGATAAACAAGCATTTACTATTTATTCAGTTAATAAACTATTGTTTGTTTGTTTTTTTCTTGCGCAAAGCTCTACACAGGAGGTGCATTAAAAAACTATATGATGATGATCCTGAGCTTGGTGATCTGTTGGTGAGTCAGAATAATCCTTATAGATCAAAGTTAGCACCTATCGTACGTGGGTTTCAAAAATATGAAATTATGAGAATAGACAAAAACGCTCATCGTCAAAATTATTTGTGTATTTTTAAGGTGAGTTGCCGAATGTAGTGGTATCCATATGACTAGTGTCGCAGATATAAATTGTCTTCTTAGGATGAGTTGAGTTGTCAAATTTCATTCCAGGCTTGAGCTTGCTAATGATATTTACTTTTAATGGGCTTTGTGATGTGCTTTCATTGAATCTATAATACCTAAATAGTTCATCCCCACTATCTTATTTCTCTTAACATGCAGCCTATCCACATCAGCAATCTGCCACATCATCATTTATTTTTCCTTTTACACTAATTTCTGTTGACATTTAGACTTTATTTTGAGTGGTGATGATATTTAGACCTGCACTCCGTTTCCAGACTCTTAAATTACCGAGCCCAACGGCCTTGATACGCAAACAGAAAAAGAAGCCCAATCGTCCATTCTGAGAAAACGAAGCCCAACCGTCACACCCCACGCAATGCCTTTATGTTTCCAGCTCTGTCTCTCCCCATAAAAAAGGCACCAATCTTTTCCCCCGGCGGCAGTACAGTGCGGCGGCTAGGTGGGGATCTCCGCGTGCCGGTCCACGGCGAATCCAGCGGCTCTCTCGACTTGGTTCCGGCAGGAGTCGGTATGGTGCTTTGTAGCGTCGGCGGCGGCCCTGTTTTCCCTTGGCCCTCCTCTGTCCCTATGCCTTGATCGAATCTCAATCGCCATCGGTGAGCCATCCCTTTCAGTTTCCCCACCTTCATTGTAGTCCAGATTACATCTATCTCAAACTCCAACTTAAGTTCTGATTCGTAAACTACACCACAGGCCGCCTGCTGATAGCGTAGGATGGGACGAATCAGGAACTATCGCTGTCTGCCATTGTCTATTCTAATTCTCTCATGTATCAGGTTAGTCCAGATTCTCCCCAAATTCCAATCGTCCACTAATTTCTTGATGCTTCACCAACACAAAAAACTGCAGATGATTATATATGTCATGTCTCATGAGGTTGTTCATACATGCATGAATACATACACTTTTATGTAACCACGTAGATAAAATTTGTTGCATTCTCTTCACGTCTAACTCTGAATTCCCAAGTGAAACCTTGCACCCAAATCCGGACATTATTTCTGATTAAGCTAACAAATGCACCTGCAAATCTGAATCCTAACTTTATTGAGTTAAAACATGCAGTTCATAAATTCTTGTGGGTCTGATTTAGACTTGGAGTGGCTATTTTTATTCCTGGAGATCTCATTTAGCTCGAGGTATCTATTTTTCTTGCACATGGTCGTTTGTTAACGGTAAATACTGCAGCATTTCAACCAAGTGTGCAGAGGGAAGTCAATTGATTTCCAGATATATATACACGCATGGAATTATGTTCGCTGGCTTATATATACATATATCATCATGTATTTCTCTTTTTTGTTACGCTCAGATAGTCATCTCTATCAGTGTGGCCGGATGATTATTATGCAGTTTAGAAGAGTGCGTGGCCATCACATGAGCAAAAGGCGAGAAAGGTGACCATTGGGCTGCAAATGAGTAGTGGCCTGCCTATTTATTCTCTTATGCGGTTACTCTGTGTCTTGGACGACCGTCTTCACGATGATCTTGCGGTCTTGCCGATGGCATACATGGCTGCTCTCATGGCCGCCCGTGAGCCGTGAGTTCTGCTCAACGGGCACCGCAAGTTGATCCGGCGGTTCATCTTGCGCAGCAATACCTCCATGTCCTCCTCCTTGGAAGACGCAATCAGCGGGATCATCATTTTCCTGGAGAATATCATCCATCGGAGGCCCACAACGGTGACGGACGGGAGACGTAGCGTGAGGTCCGTCGTTCACCACCACGCGCCTGCATCGGCCACCACGGGCTGAAACACTGGCTATACATTGCGACAATTGTGACCACTGAGGTATAAACCACGGGGTTTCTCTTCCATCTCACTTCTAAGCATATTATTCCTTTCAGCATCTTTTTTTTTGCGGGGAACTTTCAGCATCTTATTTGCATTACAGGATTCACTATTATCTTGGTTAGTTTACTTTTTCCATCTAATGCATCATATTTTTTCATTCTCTTTGATTTTGAATCAGTAGGTCATTATGTGGCTGCAGTTTAAGGGCAAGAGATTCCAACCGGCAGGCATGAAGCTCAACATTTGGGGCATAATATGTGTAACCGTGTTATGTTTTTCTCCTCTGCAATTTTATTCCACCACTTGCGCGCTAAATTGGAGGCAACTGCTCCTCTTTTGTGATTTAGAGCAATAAATTTTTATATTTCAAATATATACATTTTTTGCGGAGGACAAATATATACCTTTCATTCAAGGTATCTCAATTTTTTTAGATATAAATCCATTGCTCCTAGCAAGAGGTAGATGGCAACCCTTTCCCAAAGACAAAACAAAATAATAAGACCTACCTTTTTATTCTGTGCAGATTAAATATATGGCACCTTTTGAGAAATTGTTACATTTTGATTAATGCCATTCCAAGTTAATCATTGGTTGATTAATAATTAAAATTTGAACATGACTTCTGTTCTCTTATAGATAACAAAAATATCCATATTGATGATATCTATACCATTTCTCATAGTATTCTTACCAACTTATTCTATAACCATCCGTAAACAAAAAATAATGTTTGGTCTTTTAATGAAAAAAATATCTATTTGTAACATTTAGTCGAATGATGTTATTTGGTAAGATAGTGTTGCATTTCATCTTCAAACCCTCCTAATTAAACGGGATTCATTAGGGCAGAGCACGACGAACATAGCAAGAAAAAATATTTTTAGGTCTTATTCTCCATTACTCAATATCTACTCTTACCATTATTTCTGCAATTCTATAGAGACACATCTACACGTACCCGCAGCAACGCGCGGGGTATCATCTAGTTATGTTAGTAGAGATGCACAATGTGCGTACCTGTCAGGTTTAGCTCAACTCACTATTATTGGGGTAGTAGAATGAGTCCTCCGAGCTTGCTAAATGTTTTTTTATATATAAGTACTGCATGCCTGATTATTCTTATTGCTTATTACTTTATATTTTGTCTGCTAATTGTCTCAGCAAAAAATATATTAAGTGTTCCCTTTATATTTCATTTTTGTAGCCTCTGTTGTACTCTGCACCCCTACAAGAATGAAATTAATTCATGTTCTTACATACTTATTTAAAGCATTTATATAAAAGGAATGTGGTAACCCGTTTAAATGAGGGGATTATTATGCCTCCAACTTGTGCAACTCCATTTCTTCTTTCAACATAGATGATGTTACGGGAGAAACTTCTGCAGCGTTGGTGATGTTGCAGAAGTTGCCAAAGAAAAACATCAGAAGCCAGGGCGCGTGTCACGTGGGACATGTGTTTTGCGAGCGAGGCGGCAAACGGGAGCCACAAAATCAGCCGGTCAAGGGAAATCGTTTCCAAATTAAGATTCAAAATAAGTATGATGACTCAGGAAATCTTTATACAATTATACGTGCGTTGCACGTGCATGCACTAGTAAGCAAAAGACACTTATTTATAACAACACAAACATCGTTGAAATGTAGTCGAGCTACCTTAAAAGGCTCCACGCCCCGCTTTATAAATAAAGCAAACAACACAATAAAAGCTAACCGAAACGAAAGTGCGCATTAAGAAATTACAGGGGAAACACTAAAAAAAACAGGAAGATCCGGCTGGTGGGCTACCAGCACAACAGGCCCAAGGATACATGATACAGAGGCCCTCAATAGGGTGGCCATGAGAAGACACGAAGCCAGCTCCTTGCACTTCCGCATTAGTTCGTCGATCGCTGCCCTATCCTGCTGCTTGCATAGCAAAGCTGCAAGAAGCCGCATAATTTGAAGCTCACGCCAGTCGGTCTGATCGGGAAAATAGGCTCAATAATAAGCTTATTCTTAACACACCACAGGCAGTGGTGGAGCTCTTTAGGGTGGCCAAGCAGAAATAATGAAGATGTGGGCGATCCCGAGGTGGCCACCATTGCTGGATCGTCTGTAGCAGAGGAGGAGGTCGCAGAAGTTGGAGACGCCACAGAAGATCCCGAGGAACCCATCGGATCGAGCTCGGGTAGAACGCTGGCCTCGCCTAGCGCAGAACGGGACATCGCCTGGTGTAGATACGGGGCGTCGGCGCGTAGCGCCCAGACGATGGGCCCCGCTCGGTAGTGCTGTCCCCTGGTGGAGGTTGGCGTGACGTATCACCAGGACGCGTTCCACCCGCGGGTTGACATAGGTCGGGGGAGGCAGGGTCAGTGCGGGCATCCGATCCTGAGCTGAAAGGGATGATGAAGACTGTCAGGATTGAAGATATAGATGTATGCAGCATAACTGTTCATATTTTCAAGATCTTTAGCTTATTTTCTTTGAATTACATCTGAATCCATACCTGCTGTTATAATCCGCAGAGCATGCAAGATGAGATGATGGATCTTATGGATGTGAGCAATGAAATACAAGAAACTCTTTGTAGAAGCTACAATGTTCCAGATGACATCGATGAGGAGGAACTTATGGGGGGTATGACACTTATTGCAGTTTCCTATTGTTAGATAATTCAAACGCCAGATATTATCACCTTAAAGTTACAAGTTTTCCTTACAGTGGTAACCATCCAGGAGCCACTCTTCAATTTAAATTCTGTTGTTGAATTTGATCTAGCACATTCTCAGTTTTTATCAGTTCGTAGGTCTAGGACTTTACCTGAAACGGTACATTGGCACTTTTGTTGTAAGCCCTGTACTATTAATTTACCGACAAGACATTTCTCTTTTTGCTGCGCTCATTTTGTATGTTGAAAAATGAAGAGCTTGATGCTTTGGAAGCTGATATGGACTTCGAATCAAATTCAGTCCCATCGTACCTCCAACCAGACAAGGAGACAGATCTTGATTCTGAGCTTAACTTACCTGCTGCACCAAGTGGTCATGCAGCAATCCCGGCAAACCGGCAGCAGGTAGGGAGACTTACTAGTTTCTAGTCACATTGATTATGGTGCTGATATCCCGAGGAAATTGACGGCTCATTTCATGTCTCTCCAATCACAGTTCTTGAAGCTATAAACCTTTTTTTGTTATGTTGTCACATGATTTAATCAATAGGCAAGATCCTTGAGATAATTTCTGAACTAATTCACTCTCCTTGTTTTTGCCTGTTGGTGCAGGAGGATGAACTTGGACTGCCTACGGTGCCGCACGCATCAATTTGTACCTGAAACTAAAAATACGTGTAGATTTGATTTGATGTAAATGATCGGCGCTATGTTTCTGCATGGAGAAATTCGTTGTATCTTTCATCATATACCACTGCAATTCATTCACTACCGGAATAACCCTATATGCCTACGGCCTTATCTATGCCGACGGCTTTTTGTCGGGGCCGTCGGCATAACTCGACCTACGCAGACGGCCTGGGCGTCGGCATAGAGAAGCCGTCGGCATACCTCTATCTATGCCTACGGCAGCCGTAGGCATAGTTAGGCCGTCGGCATATATCTATCTATGCCTACGGTGGCCGTAGGCATAGTTAGGCCGTCGGCATAGATGTGGCCCTGGTGGCCTAGGGACAAACGGCGGGCTGACGCCGTCAAATCTATGCCGACGGCCCTGACGGCGGCCGTCAGCATAGATATTATCTATATTTTTTTACTAGGAGCTGTCACGTGGCAGAGCTATGCCGACGGCAAAGCCGTAGGCATAGTTTTCCATCTATGCCTACGGCCTTGCCATAGGCATAGCCCCGCCACGTGGCGCGCAGCCCCTGGCCGAGAACTATGCCTACGGCATGGCCTTAGGCATAGATATTATTTGTTTTTATTTTAAATTATTTTTATTTTTAAGTTAAATTTTGTTTAATTTAAATCTAACTTATCTAAACTTAAACATACACAAATTATACATAGATTTAGGGCAGAATTTTTCATAGATTATGAATATCCAGTTTGTTTTTGTTTTTGAGTATGTTAGAAATGTGGCCTCCTGTACTTTTGCATATAGGTCCTTCTGCTTTATTAAATTCATAAGTAATTGATACTTGGATTGATTTTGACAAAATTTATATGGTTTTTTATCAGAATCTTGAAAGCATTATGTGCTATACTATGTTTAAAATTTGAACAAACTTAAATCATGTTTGCTTCATCAGATTGTTTCAAGGATTGTGGTGGCGGGTGCAAAGGCAACTGGCTCAGGAGTGTGACCCTTCATGGACGCCGATGCCGCTGTCACTTGGAGGGAGGAAACGGCCATGTCGGGTTGACACGAAGGGAATCTTATGGTGGGTTTGCCCCAAACCTTTTTCTCAAGTATTCCTATGGGCCGACCTATCACAACCAGGTGAAAACGTCCATTGGTCAAAGCTCGTCCGATGAAAGTCAAAGGCGAAGATTTTCTGGGTCAACTTGTCCAGGGTTCGGCTGACCGGGGGCCTTCAAGGGGGGGGGGACAATGCCACCAGAGCATTGCGCCGAGTCCTCATACATGTCGAAAGATGTGGTGCCATGTCTAAAGAGGCAATAAGCGGCTCCGGTGTGAGATTCGCCCTCATGAACGGCGATGCAATCGAAGTAATCCTTATGCGGTTTTGGCGTTGCATGAATATTCCTAAACACTTGGAGCCTAATCAATTCATGAGATTTTTACACAGTGTAGACACATATGATATAATATGTGTGGCAATTTCTTATATTTTTGTAAGATGCAGGAGTATGTGAAAAAATCCCCCACCATGGATTGTTCATCGCATGTCTACGAGTGTGGTCGGGGGCCTTTGGGGGCTAGCTATGCCACCAAATCTTGCGCCAGATCCTCTTACATGTCTGGAAGTGTGCTGTCAGGTGAAAACAAAAGACATGCGGCTCTGGAGTATGACCCCCTTCATGGAAGGCAATGCCGCCGACACTTGTAGGGGAGGGGGGGGGGAATGGCCGCATCGGGTCGACACAAGGGAGGTCCGTGTTGGAAATATGCCCTAGAGGCAATAATAAAAGTATTATTATTATATTTCTTTGTTCATGATAATTGTCTTTATTCATGCTATAACTGTATCATCCGGAAATCGTAATACACGTGTGAATACATAGACCATAATATGTCCCTAGTAAGCCTCTAGTTGACTAGCTCGTTGATCAACAGATAGTCATGGTTTCCTGGCTATGGACATTGGATGTCGTTGATAACGGGATCACATCATTAGGAGAATGATGTGATGGACAAGACCCAATCCTAAGCATAGCACAAGATCGTGTAGTTCGTTTGCTAGAGCTTTTCCAATGTCAAGTATCTTTTCCTTAGACCATGAGATCGTGTAACTCCCGGATACCGTAGGAGTGCTTTGGGTGTACCAAACGTCACAACGTAACTGGGTGACTATAAAGGTGCACTACAGGTATCTCCGAAAGTGTCTGTTGGGTTGACACGGATCGAGAGACTGGGATTTGTCACTCCGTATGATGGAGAGGTATCTCTGGGCCCACTCGGTAATGCATCATCATAATGAGCTGAAAGTGACCAAGTGGTTGGTCACGGGATCATGCATTACGGTACGAGTAAAGTGACTTGCCGGTAACGAGACTGAACGAGGTATTGGGATACCGACGATCGAGTCTCGGGCAAGTAACGTACCGATTGACAAAGGGAATTGTATACGGGGTTGTTTAATCCTCGACATCGTGGTTCATCCGATGAAATCATCGAGGAGCATGTGGGAGCCAACATGGGTATCTAGATCCCGCTGTTGGTTATTGCCCGAGAGTCGTCTCGGTCATCTCTACGTGTCTCCCGAACCCGTAGGGTCTACACACTTAAGGTTCGGTGACGCTAGGGTTGTATGAATATGAGTATGCAGCATACCGAATGTTGTTCGGAGTCCCGGATGAGATCCCGGACGTCACGAGGAGTTTCGGAATGGCCCGGAGGTAAATTATATATAGGAAGTGGTATTTCGGCCATCGAGAAAGTTTCGGGGTCACCCGGTAATGTACCGGGACCACCGGAAGGGTCCCGGGGGTCCATAGGGTGGGGCCACCCATCCCGGAGGGCCCCATGGGCTGAAGTGGGAGGGGAACCAGCCCATAGTGGGCTGGTGCGCCCCCCTAGGCCCACCCCCTGCGCCTAGGGTTGAAACCCTAGGGTGGGGGGGGGGGGCGCACCACATGCCTTGGGGGGCACTCCACCCCCCTGGCCGCCGCCCCCTTGGGAGATTGGATCTCCCAGGGCCGGCGCCCCCCCTGGGGGCCTATATAAAGGAGGGCAGGGGGAGGGCAGCCGTACCCTGTGCATTGGCGCCTCCCTCCCCCTGCTACACCTCGTCCTCCTCCCGCAGCAGCTTGGCGAAGCCCTGCAGGAGTTCTGCTGCATCCACCACCACGCCGTCGTGCTGCTGGATCATCATCAACCTCTCCTTCCCCCTTTCTGTATCAAGAAGGAGGAGACGTCTCCCGTCCCGTACGTGTGTTGAACGCGGAGGTGCTGTCCGTTCAGCACTTGGTCATCGGTGATCTGAATCACGGCGAGTACGACTCCATCATCACCCTTCCCTTGAACGCTTCCGCACGCGATCTACAAGTGGTATGTAGATGCAAACTCACTCTCTTGACTCGTTGCTTAGATGAACTCATAGATGGATCTTGGTGAAACCGTAGGAAACATTTTAATTTTCTGCAACGTTTCCCAACAGTGGCATCATGAGCTAGGTCTATGCGTAGTTCTCTATTGCACGAGTAGAACACAATTTTGCTGTGGGCATAGATCTTGTCAACTTGCTTGCCACTACTAGTCTTTTCTTGCTTCAGCGGTATTGTGGGATGAAGCGGCCCGTACCAACCTTACACGTACGCTTACATGAGACCGGTTCCACCGACAGACATGCACTAGTTGCATAAGGTGGCTGGAGGGTGTCTATCTCTCCCACTTTAGTTGGAGCGGATTCGATGAAAAGGGTTCTTATGAAGGGTAAATAGAAGTTGACAAAATCACGTTGTGGTTATTCATAGGTAAGAAAACGTTCTTGCTAGAACCCAATTGCAGCCACGTAAAAGATGCAACAACAATTAGAGGACGTCTACCTTGTTTTTGCAGCAATTGTCATGTGATGTGATATGGCCAGAAGTTGTGATGAATGATGAATGATATGTTGTGATGTATGAGATCATGTTCTTGTAATAGGAATCACGACTTGCATGTCGATGAGTATGAAAACCGGCAGGAGCCATAGGAGTTGTCTTTATTTCTTGTATGACCTGCGTGTCATTGAAGAACGCCATGTAAATTACTTTACTTTATTGCTAAACGCGTTAGCCATAGAAGTAGAAGTAGTCGTTGGCATGACAACTTCATGAAGACACGATGATGGAGATCATGATGATGGAGATCATGGTGTCATGCCGGTGACAAGATGATCATGGAGCCCCGAAGATGGAGATCAATGGAGCTATATGATATTGGCCATATCATGTCACTACTATATAATTGCATGTGATGTTTATTATGTTTATGCATCTTGTTTACTTAGAATGACGGTAGTAAATAAGATGATCCCTTACAACAATTTCAAGAAATGTTCTCCCCTAACTGTGCACCGTTGCTAAAGTTCATCGTTTCGAAGCACCACGTGATGATCGGGTGTGATAGATCCTTACGTTCACATACAACGGGTGTAAGACAGTTTTACACATGCAAAACACTTAGGGTTAACTTGACGAGCCTAGCATGTACAGACATGGCCTCGGAACACAGAGACCGAAAGGTCGAACACGAGTCGTATGGAAGATACAATCAACATGAAGATGTTCACCGACGATGACTAGTCCATCTCACGTGATGATCGGACACGGCCTAGTCGACTCAGATCGTGTAACACTTAGATGACTAGAGGGATGTCTAATCTAAGTGAGAGTTCATTATAATAATTTGATTAGATGAACTTAATTATCATGAACTTAGTCTAAAACCTTTGCAAATATGTCTTGTAGATCAAATGGCCAACGCTCATGTCAACATGAACTTCAACGTGTTCCTAGAGAAAACCAAGCTGAAAGATGATGGCAACAACTATATGGACTGGGTCCGGAACTTGAGGATCATCCTCATAGCTGCCAGGAAACAATATGTCCTAGAAGGACCGCTAGGTGACGCTCCCGTCCCAGATAACCAAGACGTTATGAACGCTTGGCAGTCTCGCACTGATGATTACTCCCTCGTTTAGTGCGGCATGCTT